AAATCATGACATCTGTCCATTCAGGATTCTACAGGTAAGGATCTATAACATAACACCACCCTGAACATAACATACTTCACTCATTTCAGCACACTCTGTACATAATTCAAACCATACAACACACTATTCATAACACTGTACATAAATGTACACTGTACTTACTGTGCACTGACACACATTCAACCGTACACAATTTGTACATAAGATAGGTACATTAAAAAGTGACTGATTGAAGCATATTACTAAGTAAACATTTTTCTTCTATAAAACATTTTTAGGATTAGTTGAGCTATATAATATCTATATTCTGCATTAAATAGATTAATATACCATTGGGATCCAAATAATCAACTTCAGGCACTTCTTTGGATAATTGGGAGTGAAGTTCATATCTAATGTCACTGTAGAGCGGACAACATGTGACAAAATGTTTTACGTCTTCTACACACAGAGTGTTGCATAGTTTGCGGTAACGTTCATCCACTGGGATTGGAGGGGAGCACACACCTCAGAGATGCGACAACTGATCTTAGTGGTCGTGTAAGTGTGACGTAGAATTCAGTACACAAATCATGTTTAAACTACCTGTATATCCTTGACTAAGGTAGATTATTTACTTCAGTTCTTCAGTTCAGTTTATCATTATTTGACAGATTTCCTCTAATATTGTTGATGATCCAGAATGTGCTCTGCGTTGATAGTGTAAATAGTGAGTTGTTAAAAACCACAAAAGGAAAGCCTATTAATTGGGCCATGTGCTGAAATCCATGAAAGCTCTCAAAATGTGGAAGTGTGTCAACATGCTAGTAAATACAGGAACACTATCAAAATAGTCACAGGTAGGAAATCACGAATGTTTCACTAATATAGGAGTTCATTGCCGAACAGCATAACTGGAAATAATCCGCCCGATACTGTTGTGCCCATGTTATCTATGAGACTTCAGTTACTTTCAGTCTGTTTACTGTTATGTCCTGACAGAACGCCCTTTCATTAGTCACATGCTCCTGTTGAAACGGCTTGTGACTGATTTCAAGTTTAGATTCCCTGAATATAGGTTAAACACAGTCTTTTCACATGTTAAATTAACAAAATGTTCGAACATGTCACGATAAAGATGCCTTGTCACTTGTCACTTTTAGAAAAGTTGCTATCCTGTCCATGTTCTTATTACGGTCAGCCTCTGACATTATGCAATTCTCCCATTTAGACCAGCTTTACATGCAATGCCTTACTTCTGGGTTTTGGTAGAGTTACATGAGCTTCAACAGCATCTGCAGTTCATGCTCTGGGGGACTCTGCCAATTGCTACAGACATGGCATTCAATGTCATTGTCACTTATGATGTAGATATATTTTGTTATAGGCGAGTATGAAGATCTTGTGTAGTTTCAAGCTATCACTGTTAGGTGGCATTGTAATGTGTCATGCATGTAAGTAAACAGCGACATTTCAGCTACATGATAGTGGTGTTGAATGGGATAAGATGACATTGGTCAACCAGGTCAGCGATTCTGACCATCCGATCCCGTTTTCGCCTCTTACGACAAGAATTGGTTACTGAAGATAGTTGTTGATGTGAAACTAATTGAAATGTTATTTGTGATGATATAAAGTTTAGTTATAGCTATTTTTTTCAATTACCTCTCCTTTCAAAATAAATCCTTCATCCGTCACTTCACTGCAAACGTATGATATGTAAGGGGTCATCAAGGGATTTCCCTACCCTTCACACAGATTTGATATACTACCCATAAGTTGATATACTGCGGCAAGATATCGGACCTCACACAATATGCACTGGATACAGCTGATATTTTTCGATATAAACGTTCATATATCTTCTCTGTCAGTTAATTTTCAGCTTGCGTGATAACAAGTGACTACTTGTTGAAACTTGGAAATACGTTATTATACACAACAGATAAATATTGACATGGAAAGGTTCAAAACATGTCACTGGATCTTAAATGTCGGCATCTGTATTGAATCAGTATCAGTATATCAGGCGACACAAAAATATGTATGAGGTGAGTTAAGATAAACCGAACACTTATTTGAAAACACACCATACAACTGCAGACGTGACAGCAAAAAGATTGTTTAAACATGTCAAATACTAACAGTAGATTTCCATGAAATTATAGAATACTCAGTGCATCATATAAATGCAAACAATCCCATTTGTAAGATGACTACAAGTGCAAACAAAAATAGTGATGGATGTTTACAGCTCGTGTCTTCGCGAGGATTAAAGATTAAAAAAAAGATGGTAAGTAAGATAAGGTCTCACTCTCTATACGACAACTAGACCTACAGTCAGCGATTGCAATGGATGGAGTCATCCTTATGCTGCCATTGTTCCTTTGCTTCGAAAGTTACGGAGGTCAGTATTTGAGATGTTTTTCAAGTATTATATATAACTCCGTGGGAACGTTTGGAGACTGTCAGATCTTGTGGCTATTGTGTGATTATAACCTTGACAGATTTCTTCAAACTGAAGTCGTGAACATTTTATTGGGAACATAATCAGGAAACAGGTAACTTTCATAATGAATACCATTGTATACTGATTGCATTACCGAAGAACAAAATAATAACAATAATAATAATAATAGCATCATGGAAAATGATGTTTTTAAACTTCTTTTCTTAAGGCCCATATACAGCCTCAGAAGATTCCCAGCCAACAAACCTTACCTTGTCCTTTTCGATAAGGATAATGAATTTATTTATAACATTGCATTTTCTGTCCCCTTTGACGGCAACGTGATTGGCAAGATTCAGGAAAAGCATGCTAAATATGCGGACCTCGCCTTTGTAATGTCTCGCTTTCATCAGTATACTGTCGTCAGGCTCCCCATTGTTCTCGGTTCCCTTGGTTTGGTACCTCCTGTTCTATTGGCCCAGGGCCCCGTTTCACAAAGCTCTCGTAAGCCTACGATCTCGTAACTTTTTTCGTAGCATTCGTGTCTCCTATGTTACAGTGTAGGAGGCACGAATGCTACGAGAAAACGTACGAGATCTTAGGCTTACGAGATCTTTGTGAAACGAGGCCTTGATCAGGAGAGTGCCCTGGTACTCCACTGGAAGTCACTTTAGCTGTAAAGGGGTCAAGGGCCCTGAGCTGATCATGAGCCTTACCAGCCTGACGATCACCCGAACCCTCTCTGCTGCATTTTTATCTTAATCTGTAAAACATAATAATAATAATAATAATAATAATAGTGCCAGGATCACCCGAACCCTCTCTGCTGCATACAATTTTTAATCTGTAAAACATAATAATAATAATAATAATGTGTGTACTTATGTGTACTCTATAAATCAACCTGCAGGGTTAACAGTCATTGCCATCACATCCCATTCACTGTTTGGTGAACAGAGGTCTTTGTGAACAATGTCACTTGCCTAATGTGAGACCACATGTGTTACACGTGCTTCGTTGAGAAGCAGGACTGAAGTCCTATTGATACCCTCTGGACAACAGAAAAGAGGTTCACATATTGTACCCATGTGGAGGATCGAAAGTAGGTTTTCGTCGTGACGAACAAACGCTTGAACCACTAGGCTACTCCACCGCCCCTAATTCTTCCCAAGGATGGTGCAGAGTTATTATTCTTGGCACTGACTATTTATACATTTAGGAGGTGAGGTGAGGTGGCATTGGGTTTTACGTCGTGCTTGAGAATATTTCGCTCATATGACGTCGTGCATGCGTGTGTATGTGTATGTGCGGCTGCTTGTACTAGCCCAGACTGAAGCTGGTTTTATAGTGCTAGCCCTCTGAGATACCATGCCGCAGTGAAGCATGAATACCCCACTCAGACACATTATACTGACTCCGAGCCGACCAGTCCTTGTTGTACCCATTAATGCCGAGCGCCAGGCAGGGACCAACAAGTACCATATTTTAACGTCTTTTGGTATGACGCGGTCGGGGATCGAACCCGCGACCTTCCGCTCTCCGGGCGGACGCTCTAACCACTACACCACGGAGGCGGTTTATACATTTAGGAAGCAAAACCATGATAGCATATTGAAATCGGTGCAAGACTTGAAACATTTGAAGCAGAAACAATTTGTTTAGGTTATATAACATGAAGACAGGATATTTATCAGAGGCCAAGTTGACCCTCTTTGGTTTTCATCGATATTAAAGATAGCCAAAATCTCCCAAATTACATTGGGGCTTCCATTGTCCTGAATCTTATATATTATCTACTGATGCTAATAATAATACTAATAATACTAAATGGTAGTTCTAACTGACATGTATCTAAATATTTCTCACAATGATAGTATATGGGTTTTACGCCCCTTTCAAATATTGTATGTAAACACACTTGGGAATCGATCTTTGGTGTGATTAGCGAATCATTTAATCACTATGAAAAGAACTTTGCAGTGAGACATTGTCATAACCAATGGGAACGGGTGATACGGTGTCTAACGTCTATAATATCTATCTCGTTCAACACTAACGTGGATTGAAGTGTAACTATGAATGTTGTCATAACGCATTCAATGCTATTTATAATGATTCCACTTGGACTTTGTGGGGGTAATCCCCTACAACAAATGTTTGTTGCTGACGGTCATATACAAACAGAATCACGACGTATGTGGCCGACCGACAACGCACAAAGTACGTTAATTGTAATATACCGCGTCGGTTGTATTTGTGGTGTATCGATTTGTTAACAATTTGTGATTTTGGTGAAACTCGTGTACATTCAAGGAAGGGCAATATTATTCCTGACTAACGTAAGAGAGGACTTATTAGGAATGAGTGTCACCAAAACATCCTCTTGGCAAAACGATCTTGGCGATATGTCTCATGCCCAGACTTCAAGGACCATTTCGTTATCATCACTTGTTTGTACGCCTGGATACCAAAGTTGGTTCCAAATATTCAGTATGCAGTCATAATGACGTTCATCAGAGTGATCACCTGTCATGATAATCACTACGATAACAGCTTCGAGATTTCCCGTGGTTGTATTTCAACACAACCCAGTTGTGAAATGGATAGAGACGTCGTGAACCTTATAAAGTTACTCCTTTTCTTCGGTTCTGCTGGTGAGGATTTGAGATGATTGTCAGTATTGTGTGGTAACGTTTAGTGACACCGAGTGCCTGTGAAATAGCTCAGTAAATAGCTATACACCATTAGTAAACACCGTTTAGTTATCGCTGAATTATAATCTAGGTGTATGTGTAACGGAGTACTATGCATGTGGCGATGAACCAAAGCAAGGAGTACTTAATGAATAGGATGTTATTGATATATGTTACAATCGAGCAGGATTTCAGGAGGTTTACGTCAGTGCAGTTATATATGTTTGTACCTGCGTGCTGGCAGCTGTGACAGTCACGGGGTGTAAACATCACCTCCGACCTAATACTTCCTTGTTTAGGTTATTTGGTCTTTTATAGAAATAAGTACACACAAGACAAATTAACAGACATAACTGTTGTCTTTCTCAAAGGTTAATGCATAGTTATAAAATTGTGTTGTTTCTAGTTTCCGTTGTAACTTTATGTATACTGTGAAAGAAAGCACATTCAAGTTGTACATTATCTGGATACCCATAAATAGTCAACAGTTTCAACGCTGTCGTTATTCTATATCTTGTTCTCCTTGATAAACCAACAACACTGATGAATAAAGATAAACGAATAGTTAATAAAGACAGAGATGGAACATCAGATCCGGCAATTCACCAGGACCGTTTCCAGACCTACACTGAGGCTAATATTCAGCATCAAATCTGAAGCAAATGTCAATGACCCTTCCTTCTTTATAATTTTAGCAATTGCCATCCTAAATAATATAGGAATTTTAAAAATGTATAACTTCAAACTTCTGAAGCTTGAACAAATCATTTTAGCCATTTGTTTGACAAGGTCACTCAGTTTGGAATTTCAAATTTAGATACAAAGCTCTGGGCACACTTCCATAAATATTGGACAAACTGAAAAGCCAGTGCTGGGGACAGACATGTGGCAACAGTGGCAAGCATTACGGGATCCAAGATAGCGCCAGCTATGGTTGTTGTCATGGTCATGGCCAAACAAAGGGAATGATCTTTCATGGAAAGCAGAATTACATGAACAATCAAGTAACTTGCAATGAAATACAATAGAAAACAAATTGTAATAAATTTATTCTTTCATATTCAGACGAGTTTATTGTGTTATCCCCTATTTACAACTCTTGTCGTTTGTACATTGCAGCGACCACGTTAGCTAAAATATACCTTCATGTTTGGGGTATATATGTTACACTGAATATGTAAAACGAGGGATTATCAAAAATCCCGGAAATTTTCAGTGATTTTGCATAATGTAGGGATGACTATTGAAGGGGAAATGACTATTGTGATGTCTATTGCAACATGCTATTGCGACCAATTATTCAAATACTATTTTTTCTCCTTGAATTGTCTCATTTGAAGTCATTTCTACAAGCAACGCGTGTCTCATCCACATTCCCAGTTTCTTTAAGCTTCAAAAACCAAAATGTCTCCACACTATGGATTTTCCAGCGTTGTTATTCAATCTGATCCAGTAAAGGTAGCAAATGGTGTTTGCTTGATTCCGCTGTGGTAGCTGGGGTTCTTCTGGAACTGAACATACTTGAGTCCCATGGTCCAATCAGTGGTGATGCTGTCAGACAACGAGGCTGTTAAAATGTCCCATCTCACTCAGTTCATAATATGTAAGAAGGTTTTTTAAGATACAGTTACCAGAAGTAAAAAACAAACAAACAGATTTCCTCCTTACTTAATTGACCATTTTATCTCAGCTAGATGCTAACTGAAACTGATTCCACACCTGTTTAGATTAAATATTCTTCAAACTACACAGGAAGTGATTTAAGGAAATATGTCTAAAATTCTAGTAATGTATAATCCCTGAAAATGTCAGTGATTATGTATAATTACTGAGGGAATCAGACATTATATATACTCACTGAACATGTCAGGGTTTATACATAATCGCTGGTTTTACGCATTCACTGTAACGTATATATGATACAGGGACATGTAACACATATTTGCATATATATGTATGTTACTGTACAAACCCATGTGTCACTGACAAATCCGCAAAACATACCTGGTATTGTGAGTGGCTCAAAGTGAGGCATACGCCAGTTTCAGTTGACACACTGGATCAGTCTATTACTGTTCGAAAGAGACAAGATTTTGATTGAGAAAACCCCAGGACTCCAAAAAGAACGCATTCATAAATCATACACAGATGCACGCACACCAACAGCACCTCTCCTCTAACATAGCAGCTGTTGCCACTAGGTATTATTTGATAATTGATGATCAAAATCTACGTGCAGTTATAAACTCCCTATACATTTGGTGATGGATAATAAAACACGTGTAATATGATTCATTTCAGTTGGGGCCAGTTCCTCATCGTGCTTCACTGATGGATGTCGACATGGAAACGGTGGACTAAGATGTCAGTCTTGCTACGTTGGTTGCTATGGAGCAAACTGCACCATCCCATGTAATGACAACTGTCACACAGACGGGTGTAACAGAATCACTGGCGAATGTTTCACATGCAAGCCAGGATATTATGGACGAGACTGCAATGTGTTCTGTCCGAGAAGATGCCCGATCATCATAGTGATCTCTGCTATATGTGACCGCCACACAGGTGCTTGTTCGGAAATCTGTGACGGAGGATTGACTGGTGTACACTGCAAGGATCAAGTCTGTAACAAAGAAACAGGTCGATGTATCTTTGGCTGTCAAGAAACTTCGACAGGAGTGTATTGCAACAGAACATGTGATACCTGCCTCAACAGAAGATGCAGCTGGACCGGATATTGTCTTGATGGCTGCAAGCCGGGTTTCTATGGAAACATGTGTGACAAAACGTGCCCTCGATGTTGGACCACTGGCTGTGACAGAGGAACAGGTATTTGTGAACAGTGTAGTCCAGGTTACCGAAGAAGACGCTGCAACCACAACTGTTCTTAAACATGCTACAGAGGCAGGGATGGGCACAGGCACTGTGGTCGTTATACCGGTAACTGTCTGGAGGGTTGTGAAGTAGGATGGCACGGTCATCGTTGTGCCACCCGGTGCAGCACCAACTGCAACTCTTCTCGTTGTTACAGCCATGATGGTGCCTGTGTTGATGGCTGTAAGCCCCGTTGGCATGGCAAATACTGCCTGACACCGTGCAGTACAACGTGCACGGAATCACTGTGTGCCAGTCAAGATGGTTCTTGTACCCACGGCTGTGTAAGGGGTTACCATGGACAGAATTCACTGTCGGAAATGTATCACTTGTAAAGATGACGAATGTGACCGATATGGGAGATGCAGATATTGTCAAGACGGATGGAGGGGAGAGAATTGCAGACTCCGATGTCCCAGTGGCTGCCATGCATGTGATGAAGATGGCGTCTGTATGTCTAACAGTTTGACCAAGAGGGTGTCGGATCCAGCAGATGACTCACATACAGATAGCCATACCGACATATCATCAGGTTCAAGCAGCTTTACACACCTACACATATACTTTGTGTTCCTTCCTTCTTGTTATGCACTCAAATCGAGTGTTATTAATCAATGCATAGTAACTTGGCTTGAAACGATGCCAAGTTCTCTTTGCATATGTAGGTGTTTAGCTTCAGCACACCAGGTGTTATGATTAGGAGATTATTCTATAAGTATGCAAAGTTTCCTGAAGCTGCTTCTGTGATCCTTGACGAGGCAAATAGATTTTGCAGTGATCTCTTGACGAATGATTTCAGCACTTTGTAGATTTTCAATTATAATTGTATTATAAATTCACATATAGTAATTAAATCTAGATGACAGGGGTATTGGGCAAGATACATACATAAAGATGAGAGTTCGATGAAATATGACAGAATTAATGTAACAGGAATCTCATACAGGCTTCTGAACGGCTTCGACACTTCTGTGGTTTTATGGTTTTTATGAATTTAAACAAGTGTTTCATATCTTTTCTCTCGTACTGGATAAACATTTTTTTCAACTTGTATCGAGATTGACGTTTTTAGGTAGATAAAGGTTTTTTCAATGTTATGTTTTCTTTAACCATCTTATAGTACACACACTTCAAGCTGCCCTTAAACTTGTGCCAGTTCTGCAGGAACTGGTCACAAATGTTTCATACTGTTCGCTAAAGCTAACGCTAGGTTGATGAAGAACACAAATATTTCACTGATTCCACAGTTGTTTGATGGTATTTTCTATTTTTACAAGAGTTATTTGTTTCATTATGATTTGCCATTTTATGCCATAATAGAATCACACGTTTGCACATGTTTTATATAGAGGGGTTCCAATCTGAGTTTTCCATAAATAATATATACTTCCCATCCAAAGGTTAGAATCACTAGTGTAAATATAGAAACTTACTTTAGGCTTACGGTTCTAAACCAAATTTTGCAAAATATTCCAGAATGTTTAAAGGTACTGTTTACACTTGAACTGGTGTATTGTAAACCAAATTCGTAACGTTGAAAAGATTATTGTCATGAAGTCAATAAACGTTAAAAAAATAGTGAAAATTGTTCATATGCACACTATTTGCTCATACTTTTGAGCAATTTGAGGCGCGATCCGTGTGCAATTCATCTGCATGAGGTTTACAGTTGGTTCCCTCAAGTTAGTGGAGAAATCAATCCTCGATATAACCATATATATGTGCATAACGTATAGTGAGTGTTTTAAGTGAGTCTAAACTTTTGATGGGAAGTATAGTTTGGTGTTGAATGCAAGTTTAGGAAATTTTCTAGTGAGCGTTTCCAAATGCCAAGATTTAAGAACAGTACATACACTCTGGTACATGTTCTTTACTAAGTTACGAAATACACTATATAGTTTAGCAGTTCATAAGTTAGGAATGGTATTAAATGTGTGGAATAATAAAATAATCGTTTTTAGCCGATCTAGTCCAGTGGGTTTATTTCTTTAAAGTTCCAAATTGATTAATCGTTAACTAAATTATATATTAATACATCAATGTTCTATTATTTAACTTTAAGAACGTTTCGAAGCACAAGTGTTTCCTGATGAAATTATACCATATGTACATAGCAGCTTCCAGCTTCCAGGTTTCTTTAGGTGGGTGTTTCTTGAGGTCACGACATTTCCTAGAGGTGATAATGCGTTCTATTCAATGGGTCGTTACTGCGATATCAACTTATTCTTTGCAGCTTCTACAACGGAATGTTTTGCAGTCAGTTAAAGTTTCCTTATCTATGATGTTTAAAGAGCAACTGTGTATATCTTCTACTGTGATATTGTTTACATAATCAGATACATTATTCTTATCTATGATAGTCAAAGAGGTACATATTCTATTGTGGAATTCTTTACATATTACTGTTTCCTTATCTATGATAGTCAAAGAGTTATTATGTACATATTCTACTGTGAACTTGTTTGCATAATCAGATCAGCTTCTTTATCTATGATATTTAAAGAGCAACTGTGTACATATTCTACTGTGAAATTATTTACACAGTCAGATCAGCTTGTCTATCATTCTATGATATCCAAAGAGCAACTGTGTACATATACTACTATGAATTTTTTTACGCAATCAGATCAGCTTCCTTATCTATGATATCTAAAGAGCAACTGTGTACATATACTACTGTGAATATTTTTTACACGGTCAGAGGCAGCTTCCTTTATCTATGATATTTAGCTCCAGTTTGTGATATATAATACAGTCAGCTGAGGAAGACTACATTTAGCAAAAGTTGTAAATATTGAGGCATGCATCAGCTATATATGCTGTAGTGGTACAATGCCGAGTTTAGTTTTCACTTCTCCTTTTGCCTTTTTGTGCCTAGACAGCCTGTATCTCATCAAGTAAGGTATTAGATATCTATTACATGTGTGTGTGTTTATATACTTTAGATTTAAAACACCCATGTATATAATAGTTATATATTTATGTAAATAATACATGTTCAGGATAAATACACAAACACACGTAAAATACATTTATTACAGACACACATATACACACACATATATATAAAAACATATTGACACACAGATACATTATAGTATGTATTATATTTTTTTATGTATGTTACAGTCAATGTGTAAAATCAGTCAATTTGTAAATTAACTGATTTCACTCATTGACTGTAACATATATACATGTATCTTTAAATAGACAGACCTTCCTTCAATGAGAACGTCCATTCATTTCTTGACGTTGTTGTCGTGTCGCATATTGTGAGATGCGGAATATTGGGTTCCGCTTATTGGTATGTGTTTTGTATTAGATGACCGGTTATAATAAATGGAGCCTGTTGGCGGAAAACCGAAACTGTTGTGCGGTTTATGAAGAAGACTGCAAAATAACAGTTGTAACTGTAGACATGCAGAGTACCTCAGACCAATTATATCACTATATGTATTTGTCGAATATGGTCATATGTAAACCTAGTATACACCCACACATGTATGTGCATCTGATTAATATTCATACATGACATAGACTTGTATATAATCAAGTCTGGAACAGTCATACTAGTGGTTTATATTGTGAACCATGATTAACAATATCGCAGTAACACTGCCAACTGCATTACGTGGGCTTGCGCGCAGATTGCTGGAGATCGAAACGAGGCTTATTGCTGTTAGACAAAACTTACATATGATATACAGTAGGCTTACATTCCAAGTCACATTCCAGGAAATACCCAAGTCAAAACATTCATTATTGTGGCCTGCATTCATGTGCACGCCCCGCTACACAATGCGACAGTAATGTCACTTCTCGGGAAATATGTTCATCATTCCTGGGGAATACACAGTTGTCCTCTTAGCCTCACATAGCCTCCATTCACCAGTGATGACTCACTCACCTACTGACTCACTCACCTACTACTTGCCCTGCCTGCCTGCCTGCCTGCCTGCCTGCCTGCCTGCCTGCCTGCCTGCCTGCCTGCCTGCCTGCCTGCCTGCCTGCCTCACTCACTCACTCACTCACTCACTAATTACGGTCATCTATGTGTTAAGGTGTTTTTTATGAAACGGACCCTTTTCTGTGAGAAAACGATAATCAACACGTTAATAAATGCAACTTCCTTCCGTATTTTAGAACTTCACTCGAATCTAAGAAATGATCATGGTATTTCTGTTTATCACTTGTTGTACAAGACTGACTGACTGAGTTTGGTTTTACGCCGCTTTTAGCAATATTCCAGCAACATCACGGCGGGGGACACCAGAAATGGGCTTCACACATTGTGCCCATGTGGGGATTCGAACCCGGGTCTTCGGCGTGACGAGCCAACGCTTTAACCATTAGGCTACCCCACCGCCCCTTGTTGTACAAGAATACCAAACTAAATGCTGTGATACTATACCACTGATACCTACGTACACATGGACCAGGAACTGCAGGGTCACACTGATCAGCGTTACAGTTATATTGAACGTCTATGCAATGTCTATTTTTATTCCTATACTGAGGCCACACGAACTGATTTAGTAATATTGCTAAGTACTTCAGATTTGTGGGTCCAGAAATTGATCATTCTTAGGGATGCAAAATGGGATAATCTGGAGATATAAACGTTGACGGGACGGTGGGGTAGCCTAGTGGTTAAAACGTCACACCGAAGACTCGCGTTCGATTCCCCACATGAGTACAATGTGTGAAGCCCATTTATGGTGTCCCCCCAACTTTATATTGCTGGAATATTGCTAAAAGCAGCATAAAACCATACTCACTCACTTAATCGTTGACACAGTGTGTGAATCCGATTTACCCCTGCCGTGATGTAGCTGACTAAACCTAACAAAAGTACTAGAATACTTTACTAGGAAAGTGTAATTCGAAACCTATGACATGTTACATATGATATCGTCCACACTGGCTGTTGTAGTATTCTTTTGTTCAGGGTCTAGTCCGATTTTAAATCAAGAATTTAAATTCTCATACAGGCAATACGACTTCTAATTTGGATCTTTTGATATGCTGCCTCAAATGTGTCACATGTCCTACACGCTCACAACTACATATACACACATAATTTACTATAAATAAATAACAATAAGTGAGACGCAGGGTCCCCGTGTATTACGCTACAGTAAAGTCCGAATATATAGCGACACATTTTGAACAACCATTAAAGATCTGTGAAGTCCCAATTCTAACCTGCATCTTTACGGCTATGTATATTTGGCGACATAATCGCATCAAAGCCAATTCGGCAATTGGAAAGAGTGAGTGAGTATGGTTTTACGCAGCTTTTATCAATATTCCAGCAATATCATGGCAATATCAATATCAAAGCTGTTTAATATATTGTGCGACATATGTATACATAACGTCATCTTAAATGCATTGATCAGTAGTGAGTAGTGAGTGGATTGCGTTTTACGAGGGGATATCAAAAAGCTCTAATTATCACCAAGACTTATTCAAACTTTATTTTGCTGTCATGTCCTTATGAGTTCTTTTCAGAGTCACCATCCCGAGTTACACATTTCTGCCCCCGTTTCTTGCGCAGACCGGCTGAATAGAGGTCCCCTGATTTCATGCACCTTGGCCCTTTCCGGAGGTGGTGACGTGGCACGTGTCCACTCTTTACTCATCTCTTTTGTGTCAGGATCATACAAATAGACCCAACATTCGTCCATGGTTACAAGACATCTGAAGAAATCCTCTTCACCCTGCTACAGAAGCTCCAATGCCTGTCGTGGCATGTCCCGTCGAGTCTGTTTTTGAAGATGAGTCAGTAAGCGAGGAACCCAACGTGCTGACACTTCGGACATGTGCAGTTGGTTATGAATGATGTTCCATACACTGCCATAGCTCAAGTCGGTCACATGCATAACCATTTGTATTGTTACACGGCGATCTTCCTGAACCAGCGCCTCGACTTTGTTCAGGGTGTCCATATCATCGGTAAGTGAGGGGCGTCCACTTCTTGGCTCATCTGTGAGGGACATGTGACAGTTTGGAAAAATTCCTTTTCAATGTCACAACAGTGTCATAGGATGGGTTATCACCACCTTAAACAGATTTCATCTCATCGTGAATTTGTCGTGCAGTGCAGCCCATCAAGTGCAAGAACTAAATTAATCTGCGCCATACTTAGGGGTACTGGTGTGTATGATCAACTAGCACAAGATTGAATGTAGGGAAGTAGATAGGACTTGGTCCATTAACTAGATAAGGATCACTGATGTTACAGTCAAAATTTTATCCTGATTGCGCAATAACTTCTTGGGGATAATTGGAACTTTTTGATACCCCCTCGTACACCGCTTTTAGCAATATTCCATCAGTATCACGGCCGGGGACACTAGAAATGGGCTTCACACATTGTACCCATGTGGGGAATCGAACCCAGGTCCTCAGTGTGATGAGCAAACGCTGTAACCACTAGACTACCCGACCTCCCTCTGGGGTTTGAAAAATAGAGACTCCACACATTCGATACTGTATACATTTACCCTGAACGATGGCAAGAGCAGCACTGATGTAGTGAGTGAGTGAGTGAGTGAGTATGGTTTTACGCACTTTTAGCAATATTCCAGCAATATCACGGCTGGGAACACCAGAAATAGGTTTCACACATTATGTACCCATTGTACCCGACTTTGGAACGAAATCTGTTTTAGTCACACAATGAACCCTTGGATTACCTTCAATATAAATGTGATCTATGAAAACTCTTGTCATTCAGTTTTCTTTATCTTAATTTTCTGTTTCTGATTTGAATTTCGGACTTTGAAAGAGCACAGTGCGAATGTTTCAACCAGTGGTCATGGGATTCCGTCACTCATGGGATGCAGCTCAGTAAGCTCAGTCAATGTGCTTCCGGTGATCATGGGCGACACTGCACTCTAGTGCTGTGTAATAGCCTGATAGTTCGTCAACTTTCTGGTAGAGTACAAACTTCAATGAATCATTCAGATTATTAGAATATAAAGTCATGGGCAAAAGAAAGTGAACACTTTTTATTTTGAATTTTTGGCACAGTTGTCCAAGTTAGTAAAATTCTTTTAGGCTGAAACGGCTAGGTGAGAAGACGATTACGGCCCCCAGCGAACCGACAAGAACTTGAAGACGCTCTCGGGAACGAGTGGTTTATGGTGGGATTCCGAATGACGTCATTCGGCGGCTGACGACATCGATGACACAGCGAGTCGGGGCGTGTATTGCTGTTAGAGGTAGTCACACTCGTTACTAAGGATGTTTATGCGTGACCAGAGACTTGACATGATGAAGACATTCCATGATTGACTCTTGTTGTGTCTGTGAACTGTGCTATTCCTAGCCCTCTGTCCATTAAATGACACGTGCTCTTTATCTGTAAGGAGTTTATCATAGACACTGTGGGTGCATTGTCCCACATGCTGGCTTCATTAAATGTACTATCACTTAAAAACACTGTATGTTTTGCTTTGATTTTATCGATCATTAATGAAGGTGTTCACTTTCTTTTGCGCACTAGTTTGTATAGTTTTACAACATGTGTATGGTGCCGTCGAACCTAGAAACACAAAAGGGGAGAATCGGGATGCCACCCATGTTTAAAACGTACTGACTTGCCCAAAGAACGCACAAATCCACAGTTAATTGTTGTGTCTGTCGCGTGTCCTGGCCGCTGATAAATCGGACTGAGGCGTAGTTGATAAAAATCTGTTTATTCTGTAAAATACATATATGGACATCAATAGAATATGATGTATGGCCTAGGGGTGAATCAACTCACCTCCGCCGTGGCGTGACATGAAGTGGCAAATATGGAGATTGCACGCATTTTACCATTTATAAAATGGTCTTTACAGCATTTTATGTAATATTGCACTTTGAATATTATGAGCAAATTAAAGGAAGCAGACATCACTCACATTTACTTACGTGCTGGTGCCAGTGTTTAATTAGTAATTTCGTGCAACGCGATGCCTTATAATAGAAATATAATAGATATTATAAATACTATGATATCGCGCACCTTTATGATAATACGTTTAGAGGATGACAAAGAAAGTAGACAGAAAAGGTACATACCTGTAAAATACATATATGGACATCAATAGAATACGACGTATGGCCGTGGCGTGACATGAAGTGGCAAATATGAAGATGCCTACGTCACGGAACAGGTAATGCACGAGATGTCACGGAACAGGTAATGCACGAGATACTACTGGTATTACAACCAGAGTAAGAGTGATAGAAGAAGCGCTCGTAAATGAGCAGAGAGGAATAAAGTTAGAGATACGCAAATGTATGGGGAAATACATCCGGCGACATGTCCTATAAGACTAGGCCTGTTGTGTCACTGTTTACAACATGTGACGTTGACAACCTGCTTTGCTGAACGCGATTCTCGCTCACTGAGTCATGTTCCAAAATACCCCATGACCGTTGCATCCTGTGTCACAGTCTAATTTCAAAACATCTAACAAAAAACCTAAACTAAACAATCTAGCAGTGTCTCTACATCAGTGCACAATACTTCACATAAATACCTGCACTGCATGCCTCAGTGCCCATTGTGTCCTTGTGCGGTTTGAATGTCTCACTGTCATGTATGTTGAAACGTGGTAAAACCGAAAGACCCTGCGCATTATGTTATTCCCAGGTTGGCGCACATCATTCATGACTCAAGACAAGCAGTATACAGCAGTCAGTGATGCCAGTGGAAAGACTCCTCATCCTCTTACTTATTTGTTTTAGCCGTTGTGTTGGTAAGTATTCAAAATCCTCAGTATACGCTACCTTTGTACTGCAACGTTTACGACACTCTTGTTAGTCTCACTTACATGATCTTGTGTGACAGCTATACATTCTTGTAATTCCTGATAACATCTTTTCTGATTGATAACTACAAGTAACCATCTTGTGTGACAGCTATACAATCTTGTAATGCCTGATAACATCCCTACTGTATGATAACTACAGGTAAAGCATCTTGTGTAATAACATCCCTACTGTATGGATAACTAAAGGTAAAGTATCTTGTGTAATAACATCCCTACTGTATGATAACTCAATGTAAAGCATCTTGTGTAATAACATCCGTACTGTATGATAACTAAAGGTAAACCATCATGTGTAATAACATCCGTACTGTATGATAACTAAAGGTAAAGCATCTTGTGTAATAACATCCGTACTGTATGATAACTAAAGGTAAAGCATGTTGTGTAATTACATCTCTACTGTATGGATAACTAAAAGTAAACCATCTTGTGTGACAACTATACAATCTTGTAATGCGTGATAACATCCTTTCAGTATGATAACTACAGAAATTCATATCACGTTGTGAATGGAATAGTCATTTCGAAATCCACCAATAATCACACAGCTTGGTTCCCACATAATACCACCTTAATAATGGTATACAATGAAAATAGGGCAGTAGGACGTGTTTGAACGTTAAAGCTCCTGGTATTCCTAAATATTAATGCAGGGTTATAAAATTGTGGGGTTCTTTAGTTTCCGTAAACTTTATGTAAACTTTCACGTTTCACATTATCTGAATATCCAGAAATAGTTAACAGTTACAACATTGTCTACGTTTTATATCTGGTTCTCCTAGTTAGACCAAAAACCCTTATGAATAAAAATAAAAGAATAGTTCATAAAAAGAATCACGAACATCAGATCCGGCAATTCACCAGGAATTTACTACTCTATGGCTAATAATAAGCTTAAAATCAGAAGCAGAACTCACTCCTCTACATTTTAACATTTGCCATCCTAAACAATGTAGGCATTTAATGAGCGTATACGAGCAAAATTCGGAAGTTTGAACAAATCATGTTTTAACTATTTGTTTGTCAAGGTCACTTAGTTTGGAATTCCAAAATTAGATACAAATCTGTGGTCACACTTCCAGAATATTAGACAAACCGAAAAGCCAGTGTTCGTTGTCATGGTCACGGCTAAACAATAGGAACAATCTTTCATGAAAAGGGACACCAATAACGGAAGAAATATACTCTCCCAAAAAAGAAACGCATATAGGAATTTCAACTGTATTTTTATGTTTATTTTGAAACATCTTGTAGGCTTTATGAGTCAATGAAATATAGCGAAATTCCACTCGGGGAATACAGACTTATCCGTCTTTGGCACCAACTCGAGGAAACTCAGTTTGAGTGTCACATGGAGACGTGTGGTGGCGCTGAAGTCAATACCTCGTGTGACCACCGTGGGCATCCAGAACTGCACGGCATCGCCTCGGCATCGAACGAATAAGTCTCAGAATCTCGTGTTGCCCAATCGCAGCCCACTCTGCCTGTAGTGCCTGTGCGAGTTGCTGAAGTGTCTGGGGCTTAGGATTACGGCGTCGCACCCGTCTGTCCAGGGCATCCCACAGATGTTCGATCGGCTTTAAGTCCGGTGATCTTGAGGGCCAGGGGAGCACATTGATGTTGTGGTTCTGGAGGAAGTCTCTAGTGTGACGTGCTGTGTGGGGCCTGGCATTGTCCTGTTGAAACAACTCCCTCTGGCGATCAATCATTGGAAGGAGGTGTGGGCGTAGGATTTCGTCATAGTACCGTTGAGCTGTCAGGTTGCCCTGGATCATCACCAAATCACTTCTCCTACGGCAGGTGATCGTTCCCCACATCATAACACTGCCCCGGCCGAATCTGTCCACCTGGGGAACGCAAGCGTCGGCGAAACGTTCACGTCGACGTCTGTACACCCGCATTCTTCCATCGCGTCGTTCCGTTTCCGTCGTGATTCATCACTGAACCAGATTCTACGCCAATTCGGTAGATTCCAGGCCTGAACGTTGGTGCACCATTGAACTCGATGTCGACGATGTTGTTGTCGAAGCACAGGGCCAAAATAAGGTCTTCTGGCACGTAAACCAGCCTCTCTCAACCTGTTCCTGACGGTCTCAATCCGGGTATTTGTCGAGCGGTACTGGTCGCCGTAGCTGTTCGATGACGCAGGTGATGTACCCGGATGTAGCGATCCTGCGCCGCAGTGGTCGCTCGAGGTCGCCCACTACGAGGGGCATCTGCTACCGCATTCTGCCGCCGATATCTCTCCCAGAGCCGTGAAATGGTGCTTTGGTGAACATTCATGCGTCGGGCAACTGCACGTTGAGACTGGCCAGCTTCAAGCAAACCAATGGCGATATGACGGTTGGCTTCACTTAGACGTGGCATTTTGCGTTCGTCAACAATATTCCAAATACAGTGAATAATCCACAGACAGCGATCAACCTTTTATACCCATCATTGAGACTATCGGATCCCCAACTGTCACATGCATTGCATGTGAATTGTGTATACTGTGACACTACACGCCGAAATTGAAAATCATGCTGTTAAATACGGGTATTTTACGGATGGTGCGTTTTATTGTGATGTTTCAAAACATAAACACCATAGGACTCATAAACAGAGCAAAACCTTTTGTCAAATGAATCACGTTTTAATTCATTGCTACATTAAATTGCTATTTTCATGATTCGTTTCTTTTTGGGGAGAGAATATATATATATATGAACAGACAATCTGTATTACGTCCCATAAATTAACTTGCATTAAATACAATTATAGGAAACAAATTAAACTGAAAAATGTCTTTCTTATTCAAACGAGTGTATAGTGTTATGGGGGTATATACATTGTTACATACCTATTCCGTGTTCACAGTGCTGAGATCAACCTTGGTGTTTGGTATATCTATTATTGTTACAAGTCCCTGGCCGCGTTTGAGGTTTCTCTGACAAATCCGCAGAGTGTACCCGGCCTTATGATTGACATACCAGTTAAGTGGCGCTTACGACAGTTCCAATTGATAGAATGGGTAGGTCTATTAAAATACGCAGAGTTATAAAACTCTCTATACGTTTGGTAATGCATTATAACACATATATAATATGACACATTTCAGTTGGGGCCACTTCCTCATCGTGCTTAGCTGATGGATGTCGACATGGAAACGGTGGACTAAAATGTCAGTCATGCGACGTTGGTTGCTATGGAGCAAACTGCACCATCCCATGTAATGACAACTGTCACACAGACGGGTGTAACAGAGTCACTGGGGAATGTTTCACATGCAAGCAAGGGTATTATGGACGAGACTGTAATGTCGCTTGTCCGAGAAGATGTTCGAGCATCACAACGGTCACGACTATCTGTGACCGCCATACTGGTGCCTGTTCGGAAACCTGTGATGGAGGATTGACTGGTGAACACTGCAAGGATCAAGTCTGTAACAAAGAAACAGGCCAATGTATCCTTGGATGTCAGAAAAATTGGACAGGAGAGTACTGCAACAGAACATGTGATACTTGTCTCAATACAAGATGCAGCTGGACCGGATACTGTCTCCATGGTTGCAAGCCGGGTTTCTATGGAAACATGTGCGACAAAACGTGCCCTCGATGTTGGACCTCTGGTTGTGACAGAGGATCAGGTATATGTGAAGAGTGTAGCCCAGGGTATCATGGAAGACACTGTAACAACAACTGTTCTGAAACATGCTACAGAGGCAGGGATGGGCACAGGCACTGCGATCGTTATACCGGTAACTGTCTGGAGGGTTGTGTAGTAGGATGGCACGGTCATCGTTGCGCCACTCGGTGCAGCACCTCCTGCAACTCGTCTCGTTGTTACAGCCATGATGATGCCTGTTTAGATGGCTGTAAGTCTGGTTGGCATGGCAAACACTGTCTGACACCGTGCAGTACAACGTGCAAGGAATCACTGTGTGCCAGTCAAGATGGTTCGTGTACCCACGGCTGTGTAAGGGGTTACCATGGAAATCACTGCCACAGGAAATGTATCAATTGTACAAATGGTGAATGTGACCAGTATGGGAGATGCAGATTTTGTCAAGACGGATGGAGAGGAGAGAATTGCGGACTCCGATGTCCCAGCGGCTGCCACGCATGTGATGATGATGGCGTCTGTATGTCTAACAGTGTTACCAAGAGAGTGTCGGATCCTACAGACGACTCACACAATGCTGGTGACACAGACACATCATCAGGATCAAGCGGCTCACACACCTACACATATACTTTGTTTTCCTTCCTTCTTGTTATGCACATGACTCAAATCGAGTGTTATTAACAGAGGCATGTTAACTTGGCTTGTAAAGTTCCCTTTGCTAGGTGTCTAGCTTCAGCACACCAGGTGTTATGATAAGGAGATTATTCTTGAGTATCTTATGATTTGCCATTTTATGCCAGAATAGAATAATACGCTTGTACATGTTTTATATAGAGGGGTTCCAATCTGATTTTTTCCATAAATAATATATACTTCCCATCAAAAGCTTAGAATCACTAGTGTAAATATAGAAACTTACTTTAGGCTTACGGTTCTAAACCAAATTTTGCAAAATATTCCAGAATGTTTAAAGGTACTGTTTACACGTGAACTGGTGTATTGTAAAACAAATTCGTAACGTTAAAAAGGTTATTTTGATGAGTTCAATAAACGATAAAAAATAGTGAAAATTGGCGAATTCTTCACACAGCTTTACATCAAAATGCATCTGTTCATATGCACACTATTTGCTGATACTTTTGAAATTTGATGCGCGATCCGTGTGCAATTCATCTGCATGAGGTTTACAGTTGGTTCCCTCAAGTTAGTGGAGAAATCAATCCTCGATATAACCATATATATGCGCATAACGTATAGTGAGTGTTTTAAGTGAGTCTAAACTTTTGATGGGAAGTATAGTTTGGTGTTGAATGCAAGTTTAGGAAATTTTCTAGTGAGCGTTTCCAAATGCCAAGATTTAAGAACAGTACACTCTGGTACATGTTCTTTACTAAGTTACGAAATACTCTATATATTTTAGCGGTTCATAAGTTAGGAATGGTATTAAATGTGCTGAATAATTAAATAATCGTTTTAAGGTGATCTAGTCCAGTGGCTTTATTTCTTAAGGTTCCAAATTGATTGCAGAAAGGATTTCTTCACCCGATAACTAAATTATATATTAAAACATCAATGTTCTATTTTTGAACTTAAAGAACGTTTCAGTAGCACAAGTGTTTCCTGATGGAATTATACCATATGTACATAGCAGCTTCCAGCTTCCAGTTTTCTTTAGGTGGGTGTTTCTTGAGGTCACGACATTTCCTAGAGGTGAAAATGCGTTCTATTCATTGGGTTGTTACTGCGATATCAACTTATTCTTTGCAGATTCTACAAGGGAATGTTTTGCAGTCAGTTAAGGTTTCCTTATCTATGATATTTAAACAGCAACTGTGTATATCTTTTACTGTGATATTGTTTACATAATCAGATACAGTATTCTTATCTATGATAGTCAAAGAGGTATATGATAGTCAAAGAGTTATTATGAATATATTCTACTGTGACCTTGTTTGCACAATCAGATCAGCTTCTCTATCTATGATATTTAAAGAGCAACAGTGTACATGTTCTACTGTGATATCGTTTACACAATCAGAGGCAGCTTCCTTATCTATGATATTTAGCTCCAATTTGTGATATATAATACAGTCAGCTGAGGAAGACTACATTTAGCAAAAGTTGTAAACATTGAGGCATGCATCAGCTATATATGCTGTAGTGGTACAATGCCGACTTTAGTTTTCACTTCTCCTTTTGCCTTTTTGTGCCTAGGCAGCCTGTATATCATCAAGTGAGGTATTAAATATGTATTACATGTATGTGTTTTTATATACTTTAGATTTAAAACACCCATGTATATAATATTGATATATTTATGTAAATAATACATGTTCAGGATAAATACACAAACACACGTAAAATACATTTATTACAGACACACATATACACACATATATATAATCATATTTACACACAGATACATTATAGTATGTATTATATTTTTTATGTATGTTACAGTCAATGTGTAAAATCAGTCAATTTGTAAATTGCCTGAAATGTTCAAATTTACAAATTTGCTGAGTGAATCAGGCAATTTACAAATTAACTGATTTTACACATTGACTGTAACATATATACATGTATCTTTAAATAGACAGATCTTCCTTCAATAAGAATGTCCATTCATTTCTTGGCGTGGTTGTCGTGTCGCATATTGTGATATGCGGAATATTGGGTTCCGCTTATTAGTATGTGTTTTGTATTAGATGACCGGTTGTAATAGATGGAGCTTGTTGGCGGAAAACCGAAACTGTTGTGTGGTTTATGAAGAAGACCGCAAAATAACAGTTTTAATAACTGTAGACATGCAGGGTACCTTAGACCAATTATATCACTATATGTACTTGTTGAATATGGTCATATGTAAACCTAGTATATACCCACACATGTATAAGCATCTGAATAATTTTCATACATGACATAGACTTGTATATAATCAAGTCTGGAACAGTCATACTAGTGGTTTATATTGTGAACCATGATTAACAATATCGCAGTGACACTACCACCTGCATTACGTGGGCTTGCGCGCAGTTTACTGGAGATCGAAACGAGGCTTATTGGTGTTAAACAAAACTTGCATATGATATACAGTAGTAGTCTTACATTCCAAGTCATATTCAAGGAAACACCCAACTCAAAACATTCATTGTTGTAGCCTGCATTGATGTGCACGCCCCGCTACACACTTCTACAGAAATGTCACTTCTTGGGAAATATGTTTCATTCCTTGGGAATACACAGTTGGCCTCTTAGCCTCACATAGCCTCCATTCACCAGTGATGGCTCACTGACTCACTCACTCACTCGCTCACTCACTCACTCACTCTCCCGGTTAGTCACATGGAGTCCATGGAACAGTCACACTGGACCTAACTGATGTTTGTCAGCAATGCAATAATATAGAAAAACAAAATCACATGTTTATATCCATACATCACTCGGTAAACTAATATAACATGGACAAACGTTAGTAGACTTGTAAGAGCTGACACAATTTGTCACGGGGCTTTAGTTACTTTGTCACTGATCGGGTAGCCTTAATACCTGATACAGAGCCGTTCTTGGGGACTTATTGGTTGTAACTGATGGGCTGCGCCACACATTGTTGTGTTATACTGTTTGCAGCGCAACTGTGTGTGTTTCGAATCCGGTGGTGTCAATATCAGAGTGCACACTGTACCAGTTTGGAAGCAGAGTCTTGCCTATCCTTATGTAAGCGAAGGCTTTGTAAAACCCCAGTCAACTATATTCCAACTAAAACACGGAAGAAAACTTAAAAGTGGAATACTTAATCAAACTAATTACGGTCACCTATATGTTAAGGTGTTTTTTATGAAACGGATCTATTTCTGTGAGAACAAATAACAACCCATATACTAATGAAAATGGGAAAATAGAACTTAAAGGGAAGAACCTAAGCCTGAAGAATGATCTTGAATAAAAATTTATATTTTTCCTTAGACAATAAAACGAGTGTACATAAAAAAGAAAGTCAATATTAAAGTACACCCAGTCTCGTCTTTCCCTAAATACAATTCCGATTGGTGTAAAGGGAGTAATGGCTGTTAAAATGAATGGATCACTGAGAGTCAGTGATGACAACTGGTGTTCGAGAAAATAGTCCTGTAATGAGTGAGTGAGTTTAGTTTTAAGCCGCACTCAGCAATATTCAAGCTATATGGCTGTGGTCTGTAAATAATCGATCCTGGACCAGAGAATCCAGTGATCAACAGCATAAGCATCGATCTGCACAAATGGGATACGATGACATGAGACAACCAAGTCAGCGAGCCTGACCACCCGATCCCGTTAGTCGCCTCTTACGACAACCATAGTCGCCTTTTGTGGCAAGCATGGGTTGCTGAAGACCTATTCTACCCCGGATTTTCACGGGTCTCCTGTAATGAACAGTTATTTCCTCGATATTTATTTACATCGTTCAAAGTAGTCTATTTCCAGGCCACCGTCCCACATAAACAGATGCAATGTTTATTTTTATCTGATTTCATACAACGGTACAAGTTCAGGCAAAATATATATTATCAAATCTATTATTACATAATGGAAATAGAAACAACAGATCTTCAATAGATAACAAAACGATAATGAACACGTTATTAAATGCACCTTCCTTCCTTTTAATTTAGAATTTCACTCGATTCTAAGAAATGATCATGGTATTTCTGTTTATCGCTTATTGTACAAGAATACCAAACTAAATGCTGTGATACTATACCACTGATACCTACGTACACATGGACCAGGAAGTGCAGGTCACACTGATCAGCGTTACAGTTATATTGAACTTCTATGCAATGTCTATTTTTGTTCCTATACAGAGGCCACACGGCTAGCCCGTGTACACTTGTCATTGAAACAAGGCAAGTAGACAGGTATCATGGTTTTATCACTAAATCGATTAAGATCAAAAACTCGTATCGGGTTTTTTCTTGTTTAAATTGTGTCCAACATAAATGATTGATTAAAGATAAAGGATTTTCCGATCTGTCAATATGAGGGAAAAGAAGAGCGCTTATGTTTTTAAATATTTTATAACTTTTAGGATATAAGTTGATTAAATGAAACTAGTATATCCTCTTTGCGGGGGATATATTGTTGGAACTGATTTAGTAATATTGCTAAGTACTTCAGATTCGTCGGTCCAGAAATTGTTCATTCTTAGGGACGCAAATTGGGATAGTCTGGAGCTTTAAATGTTGACGGGACGGTGGGGTAGCCTAGTGGTTAAAACGTCACGCCGGAGACTCGCGTTCGATTCCCCACATGAGTACAATGTGTGAAGCCCATTTTTGGTGTCCCCCGTCTTGATATTGCTGGAATTTTGCCAAAGGCAGCGTAAAACCATACTCACTCACTTTCAACGTTAACACAGTGTTGGAATCCGATTTACCCCTGCCGTGATGTAGCTGACTAAACCTAACAAAAGTACTAGGATACTTTACTGGGAAAGTGTAATTCCCAAACTATGACATGTTACATATGATATCGTCCACACTGGCTGTTGATGGGATTCTTTTGCTATTTAACAGATATGTTATGGTGTTCTGGGTCTAGTCCGATTTTAAATGAAGAATTTAAATTCTCATACAGTCAATACGACTTCTAATTTGTATCTCTTGATATGCTGCCTCAAATGTGGCACATGTCCTACACGCTCACAACAATATATACACAC